TCAAGAGGGCAGAATTTGGATGCCATTCATCAGTGGGTACTGGCTTCATCTCCAAAGTGGCAAAGGTCTGGCCCATTTGGGAAGATGACCAAAATGTACTTCTGGTTCAGCTCCCACCTAAGTACCCCACCACATACACACCTGGTCTTCACCTCAGCTATGCACCACACATGACTCCTGGCTGCCCAGTCCAGTCCCACACAGCACAGACTGGAAATGCAGTGCTGAAAGAACAGCCATAGCTAAACCTAAGAGCTTCCAGCCATGCCCAGAGGGAAGGAGTGCATAGGAGGAACATCAGCCTTGGTTACTAGTCTCCAACTTGCCTTTCCTACCCTTGCTGAAAACAGATTTATTTCAGGAAATTACTGTAGGGACAATGGACTTGATTGATACAAGTATAGAAGAAATAGAAAATGGTCCTCAAATTTGGGGATTCATTTGGTGAAAAAGCTAGTTAGCTATGAACCAATTTGCTTGTATTTGGCCACCATAGTCCAGTGTCTACAGAGTAGGGGAAGGAGACAGAACTGAAGTGAGAGGCCAGCCTTTTGGAATCCAGTGTCTGATTTTTAGGGGATTTGAGACCATACTCTGAGCAAGGCACTGGCTATTCCTTGGGTCTCAGTCTCCTTTCCTGTAATGGTCAGGGTTGTGCCTGATGGTTAAGAACCCTCACAGCAGAGATGTTATAAAAATGTTGTTGTTCAGATTCATGTTCCATCACATCTCTTGATAACTCAAATGGAAGAAGCTCAGATTTAACTGAGCATTTCAAACAAAGAGCTGTTCTTACCAAAGCTGAATATCTAACAATTAAGGAAGCTGAAAACAAGTAATTTTTTGAATTACAAGTTGTAAGTTAGGCAAAGCATTCCTAGTTGGAGGATCTATTTATGGTATGCACTCTTGTCTACTGTTCCAGAAAGGCTTAGTAAAATGCAGTGGAAAGAGTTCTAAGCCTTGTATACATAAACAAATTTCATGATCTTTTGTATTTAGTTGTGTAGAAAAAGATTAGTGCAAAATGGGGAGAAGAGAAGGAAAAACTAAGTATATTCCACTTCAATCTCCATTCTCTCTCTCTCTTTTTTGGTACCAGGAATCAAACTCAGGGCCTCGCACTCAAGTAGGAACTGTGCTGTTGAGCTACATCCCCGGCCCAAAACCATTCTTGTAGGTATTAAATTCTACACAGTTAGGGCTGGGGATTTAGCTCAGTGGTGCTGTCTGCCTAGCAAATGCAGGGTAAAAGTTGGATCCCCAGTAACAACAACAACAAAAAGATTCTACACAGTTAATTATTCTTTCGGTGTGTAGGAATTTCTCCATTCAGTACCTATAAAGATAAGGGGTCTTAAGACATATCACATGCACTGGAAACCCCCCCCAACACCACTAATCTTGGTTGCCATTTTTCATTGTGACATCATTTTAGATGGATCAATATTAACTAGCTGAAATATGAAATATATTTGCCATATAATCCTGGGTGTAGGCACTAATTTCCTAGTGACTCAGCTAATGAGGTTCATATGGTAGTGTCAAGTCTCACTCTTCCTCTTTCAAACTCCCAAGATTCTTCCTTCCTATCATCCTGCCCTCACTCTCTGAAGTATAGACAGATTTATAATTGGAGTTAAAAAGAACACTTTGATATTTTCAGTTTTAAAAGTGACTATTTAAGAGAAACACTATTTAAGAGGACTATCTGAAGACTAATATGTATGAGGACAGTTGCATGGTCCTCCCACTAAGTAGCTCCTTCATTCAGAAATTCCATTTCTTTGCTGGTCTAGGAGGATTTGGTAGTGTTGAGGGGAAACATCATACCTAGGGTATTTCTCTCTCTTTTTTCAAAAATTTTTTATTAAATAACTTTATTATCAAACACACACACATACAAAAGATTAAAACCACTCAAAGAAGAACAATGCAAGGGGGAAAAAACTACAATAATATTCAAATACAGTAGAACTCAACCTCAAGTCTCTTTTGAGACTTTCACAAGCAAAGAATGAAGTGTGACTTGAATAGCACTGACTGTAAGTCTGCAAAATGTAATTTTATTTTTAGCTCATTCATCCACCTATCCAACAAATACTACAAGTCTACTATGTGCCAGGTATTAAACTATGCAGAGAAAGAAACAGACCCTTAAGGACTTCATAGTTCTTACATTTTCTAAGTTGGGTCAAGAGCCATTTTATCTTCTACTTATTACAGATTTTTAGAAGTGTTATATTTCCTCCATTAATCAAAATTTGTATGGCTTAAGTAGAAAACACACATTATGGGTACTATAAAGCCTTAGTCTGCAGATAATGTAGGAAATTAATATACAGCTTGATATCCTTGGATGTTCCCTTGAATTGTGAATAATTTAAAACATTAATTTCTTTTGGTCAATAACTTTCTAAATATATTGTGAAGTTCCTTGCTTTTAATGCAGAACATACTAATGAGTCAGGGTTATTACTACAATCAATTATTATGCTACTCTGTAATATAGTGGTTGTGTTAGACCCTACAGTGAGATACAGGGTGCTTTGTAGCAATACTGAGCAGCCTCTCAGGATTATGATTGTTATTGTTGTTTTATTGCTTTTTTGATATTTACCCATCTTCTTTCCTGCCAGGTCTTACTTTATGTTGCTCACCTGACTCCTTACAGTATTCCTTGTTTCTACAATAAGTTCTTCCTCCTTACAGCATTTCTTTTTTCTAAATTTCTATGGAAACTATATAACCAAGTAACCAAGAGATAAGGTGGTTGGTAGGGAGGACAGAAAGCTACTTTTATGAAAAGATGAAAATGTAATCTTTGTGACATGTCTTTCAGTTGTTCAGAGGCTGGTTTTTAGTTTCTTCTTGCTCTTCTGTAATGTGCTAAATAAACAACATGTGTTTGGTAGCTGTGTACTTGATATCTGTGTTCTTGGTATCTGTATTTATTCCTCTATTTAAAGAATTCAGCTTAATTTGACTTTTTGAAGGATTTCTTAGAACTATATTTTGTAAATTGTAGGTAAGCTTTCAGTTCTTTAAAAACTACAGGACTGCTTGCCATGGGTTACTAAAGTGATACTGTGAAGCCAGAATAAGGGGCATACCTGTGTTAGATAATTTGGTACAACTATTCATTTCAAAATGAATGTTCTTTCCTCTTATAAACTGATTTGGCAAAAGTGGGGTTCACAGGATGTGCATGTTGTGAACCTGAAACTTCCATATTTAGTTAACTTTGGGAGAACATGGGGAAAGTGAGACTTATTGACTGAATCCCAGAGACCATAAGTCAGACAAGAAAAGTAATGAGACTCACCATTTGCCGTTCCGATGTCTTCTCTGATATCCTGAGGGAGATGGGTTATACTGAGCTGAGCTCAGATGGTGGAATTTGGGATTGATGGTCAATAATGGATTTATTGGAATCTTATTAATAATAGGCATGAGGACAGAATATTTCTATATCTGGAGATGCCAAACAAATCAGATAGGGAGTATTAAAGTTTACGATTAAGAAAAAAGACTGGGAACTTTTATTAAGTATCTAGAATCAGAAGGGTTTCCTCCCTTAGTGTTTACTGCTTTAATAATGGGACAAGGTTAGCATGTCACGGGAGCTTCATATTTTATCTTTACTTAAACTGATGCCGTAACAAAGATTAATCACAAGGGGAGTGAGTCCCTTATTTGGATCCTTCAGAGTCCAGGATCCTCTTACACCCAGCCCTTGCTTCATCTTATTCTCAGCAGTGGGCCAAAGTGTGGTTTCACTTTCTAGTGGTCGTCCAATGTGGCCATCTAAATGTAAGTTTATTAAAATTAAATAAAATTAAAAATTCAGTTTCTCAGTAGCACAAGCTCATTAACACCCATAGCTAATGGCTAATGTGTTGGGCAGGATTAATATAGACTATTTATGGGCTGGGGATTTAGCTCAGTGGCACCATGCCTGCCTGTCATGTGCAAAGTCCTGAGTTCGATCACCAGTACCAAAATAAGAGAAAAAATATAGAATATTTTTATCCCTGGAGAAAGTTCCTCTGGACAGTGTGAGTCTAGTCCTGCGTTAGGGTGGCTCTCCACTTGCACAGATGGCCTCTCCATGAACCCTTGGAGCCAGCTGTTTTATCTCCAGCATCTCTGTCGGCTCAGGAAGGCCCTGGACTACCCAATTTAGCCTTCTCTGCAGCAGGCTCCTGAGAGCTCGAGGACTTCATGCCACTACTCTTCCTGTGTCTTAAGTTTCTCTCTACTTGTATTTTAGAAACTAAGTTATTTCTATTGGTTGGTCATGTAACTAATCTCACTCATGATCTTGCTGACCCTCTATAAACCACAAACATGAGTGGTATGCTGTGGGGAGAGATCTTACATCAAGATGGGAGCTGAAAAAATAAATTGCAAGGTTTCAGGGCTCTGTAATTCTACTTATTTCAACAAATTAGTGTTGATGGATGTTTTCCTTTATAAGTTGTCAAGAAATGTGCTGTATTAAGTATTTTGATTATTTTTGTTGTTGTTTGGTTGAGGGTTGGGATAATAGGATAGTTGGGAGTGGAGGAAATATTTAGGTTGAGAAAAATGTCAATGGAATTTGAAATCCAAGCTTCACAACAGGATGGTTAGTCTCAAGGGAATTCTAACGTCAGGATTTCCCACAAGTTTAATGAAGAGAAGTTATTCTTGTTTCTTTAAATTCCAGTAACCATTTTGATTAGGCAGATGAGGATGCTGCCTGCTAGGTCTTCAAGAAAAATTGGGGAGGAATACTGCTGAACACTTGATTTTAGTTTCCACTAGAAATTCCGGACAATTGCAGAAAAATGGTAAGAAAGAAGTATGACAGCAACTGACTTAGAGAACTGACCAGGTAAGACTATACCAGGTAAGATGTAAGGTTCACCAAATGCTATGGATTCATTTGTTAGGGGCCCCTTTTGTCTGGTACTTATGGCCCTAAGTGTGATCTGCTTAACCCACCACCAACCTACTTGTTATGAAAATCGTAGATCTCCTGGATGTTGCCAAAGATGATATGCTCTTTATTAAGGATCCCAGGGGGGATCTCTTCCACACCACTGGTCATTTCCCACAGGTAAGTCTGTAAGACAGCAACAGTTTCATTACTGGAAAGTATGCCACCAGAAATTCAGACAAATAAAGAGGCTCTTAGACTTGTGGACAAGACTCAGGTGGGCAATGTATGCAGTTTAACAAATCTGAATGATCCAGTGTCCTGAACTACAGAAAGTACACCCTCAAGTCCTCTTGTTATTTATCAGGTGTGTGTGGATGTGAGTGGAGGAGGTGCGGGTGAAGATCTTCAGACTCAATTTAAGTTCACTCAGTGTGTCATGGTTTTTATTTTTGAATTGGAATGCCTTACAAACTTTTTTTTTTCTGGGTCTAGCTCCAGTGTGAGAAAACTATAGACTTTCTTTTCAAAGCACTTTAAACTCCTATGCAATTACTGTTGATTCTGGGAGAAAGATTTCCTCTGGTTGGCTTTTTAAAAATTTGTTAATCTCTGTGAAAAGAACAAGAGCAGTGAACTCCTCTCAAGGACTTGACAATGGCTAGGATATCATTTTCTGTTTTTTTTTTTTTTTGGTAGCGGGTATCGAACTTGGGACCGTGTGCTTGCGAGGCAGGTGCCAGAACCACTGAGCTAAATCCCTGGCCCAAGGATATCATTTTCTAATAGAGCTGTGAACTGATTACTGCAAGACTTACCTCCAAGCACTCATGTAAGTCCCTTACATAAGCTTTCTCGGTCTGAAGGAGTTCAGCCATAATGAATCTAGAGGAAAGCAAATGTGTTTTTAGTTTTAGATAGAATGCCTCCTTTCCTTTAAACTTTACATCCCCACCCCAGCATCTATGACATTCTTGAATGTCCTATTTTTTATTTTACCAACAAACTCCTTCCCTGTCCTATGAGCCATTCTCACCCTCATTACTTGCTCTGTATCTCTCTATACATGTGTGCCCAGCCAGTTTCATGTTCTGCTTTCTACTCAGTTCTATCACATTGTGATTCTGTATTGATATGTATGTGTTCTCAACTGCATTTGTGCATATGTATGTGGGCACAAGATGCAGGCCCACTCATACTCTGTTTCAACAAGTAAATAGCTTGGATCTCAGCTTTCTACATCTGTCTTAGAGCTTCTAGAATGAATTCTATTCATATAGTTTGTAGATTTATATCAAAACAGTTTTCAATACCATAAATTAACCCAGGTTTCAAGGCCAGGCAAAGATGCCCAACTCACCACTGAGATTAGGGGTTTGCAATTTTTTTGTATGGAGCCAGATAGAAAGCATCTGTAAGCTTTCAGTCCCTGTTATAACCACTCAATGTTGCTGCTGCAACATGAAAGGAGCCACAGAATGTGTTTAAAAAAATAAGTGACTGTGTTCCAACAAATGTATGGACACTGAAGTGTGAATTTTATCTAAAATATTTTTATTTTTCCCCAATCATTTCAATATATACAAAATTATTTTTATATAAAAGAGATGGTAAATCAAGTTTGACCTATGAGCCACCATTTGACCTCTGACTTAGATTATCCCATTAAGTATTTAGACATTATTTACAATGGGACTTGTTTGTGTCACAAACTGATATGATAAACCTGAACATTCAAGCATAAGTTAGCAATGTTAAGTGATTGCTCTTCAGTTTTCCATAGAGAGAAGTTGTGCTACATATCTTTTAAGGAGAGTTTTCCCTTCCTCCTGGGGCCCCGAACTAACACAACAGACTTGAGTAACTGTTACACTTATGATGCACAGTTCCACAGTGTATCTACCTTAATTTTCCTCCATAAATTTTTATTACAAATGGTACTTTCTAGCTTGCATATGATAATCTAATTTAGCACAAACTCTATACTTACATATTTATCTTATATTTTCTGTAGCAGTTTTTTCATGTAGTTCAGAATGAGAACTCCTATTTCCAGGTGTTCCATCACATGAAAATTTTGAAATCTAACATCTCTAAAGTGCCCTCTTCTGGAAGTTTCACAAGAAATATGCTATGAGCAGCATCTTTTCCTGGACCTTTACATTGGGATTTTCCTTAAAACAAAACATTGTTCTAGCAGTGGCCTTTCTGTTAAAATTAAAGGACTGATTTAAAAAATTCCTTTTGTGGAATTAGCCACTCTCTTCCTATTCTTACTCAATTGGTAGAGTGCAAAGAGCATGAATTTTGGAGTCAGACAACAGGAACTGAATTATGACTGTCATTTACTAGTAGATCTTCTTCCTTGGCCTCAGACACCTTAGTAGTAAAAAGGCTGATCACACGGGATTGCTGCAAGGATTACTCAAGATCATTCAAGCAAAGGGCCTGGTATGAGGGGTACTTGGAGATAGTGATTAGATCTCCAGATGGCTATGAAACTAGGAAAGAAGAAAGATGAGAAGAAACATAAAATGATGGGCTTTGACAAGCTGTCTCAGGTTTCACTGCCTTGGGTTTTCTGGCATTGTTCTTGTTTTCCTATCTGATTTCTGCAGTTTTACCTGTCTTTCTTCCTAATTTATCTCTACTACCTGCTGTTCAATTTTGTTTTATTTTCCACTCATCCTTTACCCTCCTCTATTTGGTTTCCCAGAAAGAACTCAGAAGAAGGATTTGGCCTCATGTGGTCTCTGTTTCCCTTCCCCATTATGGGTTGAACTGTGTCTTCCAGAATTGATATGCTGAAGTTTTAACTCTCAGTAACTCAGATTTTGCCCTTATTTGTACTAGAGCTGGGTGGTCCCGATCAATACGATTGGTGCCCTTATAAAAAGGCATAGGTATTCAGGAAGACTGTCAAATGGACATGAAAACAGTCAGCTGCAGTTTGAGAAAAGAGGACTCAAACAGACTTTTCCCTCAGCCCTCAGAAGGGAGCCAGCCATTCTGACACTTGGTCTCCAGAATGGCAGATAGGCATTTTTGCTGTTTAGATCGCTCAATTTGTGGCACTTTGTTATGAAGCCCTAACAAACTAGTGTGCTTACCACATGAAACAAGCTCTGACTTCATAGTCCTGCTTTACTTTTTGTTTTTCTTTGGTACCAGGGACTTGTGCTTGCGAGGCAGACATGATGCCACTGAGCTAAATCCCCAGCCTTGCTTTAGTTTTTTTAAGCTCCAGAGAGGCTGTGGTCCTAATTCATTTTGATAATCTACAGAAAGCTTAATCTTGGGACACATTTTTGTTTCAAGTATTACTCAGAGTCTGTCAAAATATACTTCATAAAGTCCTCCAAAGATCTCTGTACACATGTGACTTTGTAACTCCAACATAAAGGAAGCAGCGTCCCCAGACTGATATGACTCATTGTTCCTATGGCCCGGTGCCCTATAAATTCTTGATTAATGGGGAATGTGGATAAACAACTACCTACCAATCTAAAAAAGTAAAATGTATTTTGCCTACCTGGAATCAAGATTTTCTGAGACTGGAGCTGAAATACAGTCTTCCCTCAGTATCCTCAGGGGATTGGACCTAGGATCCCTATGGATGCCAAAATCTGCAAGTGCTCTTTCTATATGTAATATGGCACAGTATTTGCAGATGATCAATGTACATCCTCCTGTGTACTTTGAGTCACCTCCAGATTACTAGAATATCCAAACAATGTAAATGCTTGTGACACAGCTGTTATATTATACTGTTCAAAGTAGATCAAAACAGTTTTCAATACCATAAATTAACCCAGGTTTCAAGGCCAGGCAAAGATGCCCAACTCATCACTGAGATTAGGAATTTGCAATTTTTTTTGTAAGGAGCCAGATAGAAAGCATCTGTAAGCTTTCAGTCCCTGTTATAACCACTGACAAGAATGACAAGAAAGACTATACGTAATTTTTTCCTCAATATTTCTGATCCATAGTTGACTGAGTCATAGGAGGTAGAACCCACAAATGTGGAGGGCTGATTATACTTAGAGAGCAGAGAATATAGTGAAAAATTGGCCTCAGCTCTCTTAAATAGATTCTGGTCCCTACCTATTCTTGAGAAACACAGAATTCAATTTATGAAATTCTCAGACTTCAGATTATTCCAAAATGTTTGAATCTCAGCATCCTGTATCTCTTCTTGCTGAGTCTCCTTTGCTTCATCTCCTCATGTGCTACTGTAGATGGCAGTTTTACATCTGAGCTCTACAATTTACTTGCTGGGCCACTTTCCAGGTACAGCTTCTTTTTCTTTTGAAAATCCTATTATCCACCAGGCAAAGATTCTGAAATTTGAATACCTACACCAAGTCAGGGGAGGGGCCATCTGGCATTAGAATATCTCCCAGTGTGTGTTACCTTCTTTTGGCCCAATAGTATATTCCTTTATTTAAGTAAGGAAGTTGGTACTATAGTGCTTATTTGTTACTGTGATTTTTGGATAACTTATCCTTTTTCAAAGGATTGAGCTTCCACATGCAATTGTATACTACAAGCTTTTCTTGATTGCCTGTGATATCTTTTTTTTTTTTGGTACCAGGGATCGAACTTGGGACTTTGCACTTATGGGGCAGTTGGCGGAACCACTGAGCTAAATCCCCAGCTGCCTATGATATCTTCATTACTCTCTTAATTGGTTCATCCAAGAGGGTAGAAAAATATACATTTTCCTCACAAAGCTTGTAATCTAGTTAGAGAGACATACTTAAGAGTGTACTGAATCAACCTGCCAAAGATTAAAACTAGACCCACACCTATCACTGTGCACTAAACTAAGATCAAAGTGGATTAAAGAGCTAAATATCAAGACAGAAATAGTAAACTTGCTGGAAGATAAGTTAGGTAGAACTCTCAATGACACTGGCATAGGAAAAGACTTTATGAACAAAACTTCAGTAGCATGGGAACTAGCGCAAAGAATTAACAACTGGGA